TGTGTTCGAAATTTCTTGCACACGGAAGAGGCGCTAAGATTGAAGGAAAATTTCCCAAGCCAAGTTGCCGAGTAGTGGTCACTTTGCAGTATGCCTCGACAGCAACAGCAGCGGAAACACCGGGTCCAACGGTCGCCTCCGCTTATGCCCCCCATCGCCTCCGCGGTCGGCCACGCAAGGCCTCATCTTGCAAGCCCGGATCAGCACCTGAGAGTACTGCAGCTTTCCGCACTACGGTCTAAGTGGATCAATCCACCGCATCAGTTAGCAGATCAATGGCAGAGGATACCAGTGTGGCGACGTGCCCAGCCCGAGTGACGAGCGGACGGGCGGTGGGTCTCAGCAAAGATTTTGCCGGTAGCAGATTGCCTGGAACATTCACCTGTTCCTGTGGTGAGGTCAGTTCAGTTTCCTTAGGACTGCAACCTAATGCACCAACAAACCAGGATAATGCTGGGAACTCCATGCTCTAAAGCCGGCTTTAAGCCCAGGCCATCCTCATGCAGTAGGAACCAATAACGTGGCAATCACTCAGGCTCAGGCTCATCAAATTTCTATTGCAAGTATAAGCAACACCCCTTTTCAAACTTGGTCGGTTGGCAACAATTCTCTTAACCCATGTGGTCAAACCCACTCGGTATTCCTCAATGTCAAACCGGTCAAGCAAACGAATCGGGAGCACCCCTAGCAACACAGCCCGCTATTCCTAGCGATTTAGGTAGAAATAGACTGGTCCCGTACCGACTGCTCGCCACGGGAGAAGGGGTTCCTCTTGATATTCACGTTCCGCAATCAACGAAAGAGAAGATTTGGAATGGGAAATATGTGGACATTGCGTTGCTGTGTCGGGAAAATGACAGGCGTCTTGGCCGGCTTAAGCAAGTACAGTAACAAAGCCGGACACGCACAATGTGAACGCTAACAACTGACAATAGGCGGGTCCCCCAACACCCATTAATGTCGTAGTCCTGAAGCAACGGTTGTCGTGTTATATAGGTAAGTCAGCGGCTAATTTGCTGTATAGCGGTTTTTCGCTGCGCTATCATGGTCCGAGGGTACGTAAACATTCTGATTGTCTTAAGCCCGCAACGGATAGGCCGGAAATCGTTCTCCAGAAATTACGGGATGAAATTGCATTGGGCAGGATTGCAGGCCCCTTTCCGGGCCGTCTGTTTCCGAATCTTCAGTGTTCACTTATCGGTCTCGTGCGAAACAACGACAGGGATCGTTTCGCCTCATTCATCACCTCTCGTATCCACTGGGTGAGTCTGTGAATGACTTTTTTGATAAGGAAGAGTGTGTACCGGTAGTTAATTATGCATCATTTGATACTGCTGTCGATTTAGCGATGTCCGCAGATTCAGCCACTTGGCTGGCAAAAACGGACATCAAGTCGGCTTTTCGGTTGATACCCATCTCCCCCTCTGATTATGAATTGCAAGTGCTAACCCATAGGACATGCCGTGTCTTGCAGGCTTTTTGAGGCATTTGGCACCTTTCTGGAATTTCACTTTAAACAAATTTTGCAAACTCACACTGTCACCCATTACTGAGATGATTTCTTGTTTATTGGGATGTCCAGGCGCCCATTTGCGAGTGCCGCTCGCCGCAGAAAAGACGGAGGGCTCCAGCCAGGAGATTAGTTACCTGGGTTTAGAGATCGATACGGTTAAGGGCGAAATCCGAGTACCACACAACAAGAGAGCCTACAAGAGACAATTTAATCATTTATGCGTATAAGTTGCCCCTGAAAGAAATTCAGTCCTTGGTAGGCTCACTGAATTTTGTATGCCGCACCATTGCTCCAGGCCGGGCGTTTACTCGTCGACTGATTGGTATGTCACGCTAGCTGCAGAAGCACCATCACAACGGCCCGCCCATCTCACGGAGCGAAACTTGACGGACGTATGTGGTTAAGCTTTTTTGAGCACTTCAACGGGGTTTCCCCATTCTGAGATTAAAGCTGGCGTGCATTTGTTTATTTATGGGCCAACGATTTGATGAAACTAGACATGCCTCCAGTATTAACGATGTTAGGCAGTTCATAGCATGGCTTTTGCTCTAGCGCCTTTCCCCGTCAACAATAGATAGTTATGTATCAGCAGTGGCTGTTTTAAAAAAAGTGCAAAGTTGGCCCGATCCCACAAGGGATTTTCTGGCGGTGAAATTATTGACAGGTTGTTGCCGGGATGAACCAGGCAGGTGTGTCACACTAGATGAAGTAACTGTTGCGTTTTTCGGGCTGCTATGTTATGCATATTCTTTGGGTTTCTGCGCATTAGCGAGTTCCCTGTAGTAGCCGAGTCTCACATCCAACGCTCACTCCCCCTTGCGTCTGACGTGCACCTTTAGGATGCAGACGATGAAAATGTGTCAGTGCTTAGTTCTTTTCGGTACAAAAAAGCTAATCCAACAGGCGCGTCCTAGGCCTCCTCAAATTATTTGCTTGGTGCGCTTGGTGAGAGTGTCTGCCCGGTCTGCGCACTGACCAACTTCGCAGAGATTCGCCCCACATCACCCGGCGCTTTCATCTGCTACTTCAAGGGCGAACCCCTGACTCAGTATACATTTAATGCCACTTTGAAGAAAGTTGTTTGTTTTTTTAGGGCTCGCGGACACTCACTTTCGCTCCCACTCTTTTTGCATCGGAAAGGCATCAACCCCACCCACACTGGGCTTTCCCCTTGAGCAGATCAAAACAACGGGCCGTTAGCGTTCAGAGGCCGCCCAGCGCTACATCTGCCCGCTGATACCCTGCCAGTTTCACAATGTGTAATCAGACGGAGACGATTGCTCGTGTAGCGTTAAAAATTCTGGTTTAATCGCATATTGAAATAAACAGATTAGATTAAATAAAATAATACAAACATAAAAAATTAAAAATATTATAAAATAATAATAATTAAAGCAATAATGATGTTTAACACCACCACCACCAACAAAAGTACCTTCCTTGTCCGTAATACGTAATACGTCGGGCAGCGACCACGCTTGGGACTAGGCAAGAAGTCCGCTGGCATAGTCTTGGTGGAGCGAAATATGGCGACGTATTAAACAAAACTAATGGTGGAACTCGCGGCCAGATGGCCTCGCCCGCCCATGATTTTCGTCCATTTGGGCACGAACAAGTAGGCGGAGAAAACCCATTTTTTTTATATTTGACAAAGGCTGGCACGAAATGCAAGAGTATCTTAACACTTACCCAAAGGCTAGGTTGGTTTGGTCGAATATTTTGCCGCGCGCCTGATACTTTGGGTTCTACTTATCCATTAAAAATGGAAATTAGGCCGATCTGGTTGGTTTGGCAGATTCATTGAACTTTTTATTTCATTTATTCATATTCCTGGACTATTTTTTAATCAGGCCCATGGCTTTTTTGGGGCTGACAGCCAGGATGACAATCACTGGTTGGCAAAATCTTGACGCTTGTGCATTTGACCTGGGTAAGAGAAACTTCTATTGGGCATACTTGTACATGTACGTGTACATAATGTACAATGGGAAATGGCCCCATGATTTTACATTCCGATGTACTCGTAATATCTCTCGTCACTCAGTTACGTCAACGGCAAGGACAGCTAAGAAACGTCTTTGGAACCAGTCTTAGCTCTCCGTGCTGTTTTAGTATGCACCCTTGACTCCATGATATGGGAACCAGACACAAGAAAGCGTGCACTGTATGGAACCGCATGACGTTGACCAAATGTCCTAAATCCCATTATTCGTTGCTATGGCTCTGCCTGATATGGTTTTTTCTTCTAGTTTCTGCAGATACAACTGCGATTTTGCTACCTCATGGTACGGTAACATGGCCTGTTAATTATGTATAGCATTGTATGGTATCATTATTAGAGTTCTCAAAATTTGGCGCCTTCCATTCGGAATTTGCCCCCGCTGGGTCGACGTACCGTAAAGTACGGCCCACGCCGGGCTAATGCTCAGTCATTGGTGGTAATTACATGTACAAATCGGTAAATTTAAAAAGCCTTTGCGAGTTAACTTCAAGACAGTGTAGCACAATGAGTTTTAAAATTTACCTGAATCTAACCATTTTAATTCTCCATACTTTTGGTTACATACGCATTGCACCAATACACTGTTTTTAATAGGTAAGACGGGCAAAAATTACCAGTCCATTCTCGGGATGGTAGTCACTTTGCAAAAGCTTGCCACGAGTCACGAAGTATTCTGGGGTCTTTAGTCTGAGGAATTGAAATTGTGATGTTTACGTGCAGTCAGATAACACAGTGTACCAAATTTTATTGAAATCTAACTCGCAAAAGACTTTTGTAAACTAACGTCCATGCCAATGAGAGGCATAATTTGAAACACGGTCCAGTCACATATATATGAATGCAAAGCATAATTATCAATGCCCACGTAGAGCAAAAGAACCAAAGTATTAAAACCATTATTATTAGTATAATTATTGTTACCTTTGTTTAAAACAGGCAGACCCTTTCACATATAATTGTGGTCTTCCATGGGGCACTGAGAAATAAATCAAGTTTAAATAAATAAAACTATGATTTTTGACACCACATATACAATGTACTCAGTTATACAGTAGTGAAATCAGTTTACAAAAAAATGAAAATAATTAAAAACCAGAAGCCAAAAGGTTTGTTTTCAAAAGCGATTTAAAATGTGACAAAGACGGCGCCTAACGAAATGTGGTACCCAAGGTATTCCATATTATATTGTAGTGCATTCAATAATCGGGCTTTGTTTGTAACACTGTAAGATCACGACTACATACTAAACATAAAAACTGCCTTTACGTAAAAACATCGTTGGTGTAATGACAACAATCCTAGTTCTACAGAAAGTTAGTTTAATGGAGTGTCAATACCTTTGGACAGGATTAAACGTGTTGCATACTTTTGTAACTTGACTTAACTGCGTTAAAGACCCCAGACTTGGCTGATGAAAATGCTTATCTCAGCTTTTGTTGGCCAAGTTTCAGGTTTGTTAAGAATTCTTGTTTTTTCTGGACTCAGGGTCTCAGTGTGGGTTTGGCATCGATGCATTAATCAGTTATCATCCTGTCTTTGCTACAGTCAAATGGAAATCAAGGTAGGACCCAAACCCAGTTTGACAGTATCAAAAAGCACATAAGGCATTATCAAAAACACAGAAATGATGAGAATGTACGAGTTCCTTGTGTCTTTGGTTGTCAGAAACATATTTCACATACAAAGGTATCATTTCCCATAAAGAAACCACAGTGTCAAAGCTGGCTTTCCAATGGTCAGTGATTATTTATCAGCATAAGTGTTCTAAGCTACACTCCAGACCAGGGTTGAAATTTTCGACCGTGCAGTTACAAGCCAATAGTCAATTATTCCAATTTTACATTGGAGTTGTCTTGTTATTGCCAATGCTTTTCTAGCCTAAACCCAGCTACCAGGTCCAAAGCCGACAGGAGTATGGAGTAAAGGCATAAAAATATGATGATATCAGCTCACGGCTTAAGTGCCTCATAAATATGCACCCACAAAATACAAATTATATCTAATACTTCTCCCACTTCCAGGGTTGGTGCCAGGCGCAGAAGCACAATAGAAAATGGTTTCATCTCATTAGAATGTACACTTAGCAGGATTTTCAGCTATTAGAGTAAAAAAAAGCCTACTGAAATCACTTGCATAATATACAGTAGTACAGCGTATTTCAATAATGCGAAGGAGCGCTTCAAGGAAAGGTGAGCGAAAACGGAAACAACGATACAGTATACAGAGCTTCTACAACACAAGTACTTTGAAATATAATCTTGAGTCTGTGCTGTCACACTTCAGGTTTTTACAACCAAATTCTGTCAAAATTCAACCGTTGCTTTCGTGAGCTGAATTACCTGACAGCAAAAGCATCTACACTGTGTACAAAGGCGATTTCCTTTTCTTGCTGAAAAATATTAAATGAGTAAAATGGGCCACCGTACACGCGTTTTGCTCGCATATTAATTTGGTTTGCTCCGGGACTGCATATAAAACTATGTTGTCGTTTATGTGCATTACCTCAGTCCCTAGACTCTCAAATGACACGGATGAATGATTTGTATTTCCAGGGACCACACTAATATCCATCAACATCCTGTACTAACGGATACCCTTATATAGAGTGGCATGCACTCCCAAGCAAAACGTTTTACCATACTGTATGTTTGTTTTTGCTTATATTTCACTATTTTAGAACCCACAGGCTTTTTAAATAGCAATTTAAATGCTACATGTTTCTTTCATTATTGGGCTGAGACCTCAGCAATTTATTAGCTGGTTGAAAGGATTTCTTTTAAAATGAAAATAACCAAACCATTCATTAAACTGAAATGTATATTATTTTTAAAATTAATAATGAAAGAAAACCATTTGAATATGCACGGTAAATGGACAATCATTTTACAAAAAATTATGCGCTGATGTTGAACATGCATGCAACTCCAATGTTGGATTTATGTTACTTTGCACAAAAAAGTTGTCCTTTCCCAGGGAGAATCAAATTTTGATGCCAAAAAAGGAAACAACTTCGAAACGCTTCATACAATTAGACCCTAAGTCTTGTACGCACAGATGGCGGTTGCCATGGATACTACGCTCGGGATAGGCCCTCATCCATTTGCTGTGTTTTGACGTAACGAGCATTCCCGAAAAAGCACGGTGTCTGTCTACAAAAAAAATGTCCGGAGGGACACATTTACGGGGGGGGGGTAGTTTTCCCGTTTACTCCTCCACTTCTTTTCTAGCCGCCGCCAGTTAATTAATTGGCGGCTGTCAGATAATAATGTCACAAAATGGTGCATGCCCTGTTCAAATATAAAAGTGCCCACTATCCCTTGGCATTCCCTGGCTTCCGTACTTATCTCATCCAAAAAATACAACTGCTGCAGCATGATCAGAAAAAATAAAATGACTGAAATCTGTGCCGTACTTACCAGCATACAGAAGGCAAATGCAGCAGGTAAGGCACAAAACTAATGGTAGTTTTCCGATACCTTTCACCATTGTGATATCGTTTACCAACTGTTAAGAGATAAGTCACACAAATATCACGGAAACATTCTGTCCAAATATTGTATTTTTATATTTGGCCAAAATATATATGTCTTGAGAGAAGAGCAGACCACGAAATGAACCAAAGGGGAAATTTCACGAGCAAATATTCGTTTATTTATACATATGAGAATCGTAACAAGCCAACCACTGAAATGTTGAAGGCATTTTTTTTGGTTTCTTACCTTTGAAACTTCAGCGCACTAAATATGCGTCGTTTAGGTAAAAAGGCTATGATTCAAGGAAGGATTCGGATTTGCTAGACAGAAATTGACGACACTGACATAGATATTCCACATGTGGGAGGCACATAAACATGGCCGTGGCCATTCAACATTGATCCCAACACAGTCTACTTGTGCGTATAACGTAGGCTGCTCAGGTATGCGACGCGGAGGGATATTAGGGGCAAAATGGTATGTAATTCGCCAGATATGAACTCGCTGCGGGGATGCAAATTTGCTGTTGCGAGATACTACCTCACCGCTGCGAGATGGTATCCTGCAGCTACGAAATACCACTTAGAAAAAAAGAAGAAATACAGGGGTTATTAATGTGCTGGGTTGCAATATCTTAACATGCCTTATAATTTCAAATGGTGTTACCATGTAATTCCTTTCATTGGAGATTGCATGTATTGAGCATAATTGTCTAAATGCATTACCAGTGGCATTCTTGGTCTCTTCGTTCACAAGCGCAGCACTGTTTAGGATGCAATTCCTGCTCTCGGCGTTGCATGGACCAGCCAGCTATCCCTTTCGTTGCCCTACACTCCAACAAGCCTCAATCATCCTGTGTGTGAGGTGGTAGCCATCTTCACGCTTTTTATTGTGTGATTTATCTAGCATATAATGATTGGATTAGACTTCTTGGATTCGTTTTGAAAAACGACTTTTTTTACACGAAGTGGTTTTAATTGGATACATTTTCTAATGTAACTTGTCCAGTGTTTATTATTTTTGTCTCTGCTTATTTGTTGACAAGTTTGGGTGTTATTATTTTTTTGTATGTCATAAGTTTCCACGTGAAGCCTGAAATTATCCAGTGGAGAAAATCAGTGTGAAATGCACTGTGAGCTGCATAGAAATGCACATCACGTTGCAATATGCCGAGTAAAATTATTCAGCCCTGACTCTACCGTGAATGCCAATATCCTACCATTCAACTTATTAAACGATGCTGATCTCTGTCAATATCCTACCATTCAACTTATTAAACGATGCTGATCTCTGCACAGGATTCACAATTTGTTGGTACTGCAAAATTTATATTTTTTGAATTACCAAAGTAAAAAGAATACTAGAGCTCATATGTCTGCTTACCAACAGAACAGAGGGCTTAAGTTTTTCGCACTCTTTGTACATTTTAAACAACTAGTGTACTGCATGAATCTGGCAACAACATCGAGTGTGTACTGCATGAATCTGGCAACAACTTTTCGCTCTTTAACATTTCTCTTTCTTGCTACTTGTAAGGTTTGGACCAAATATGACATGTATTTCAGGTGATTAAAGTATGCAATTTTAATGTCACGTGACTTGTCAGCTGATGATTTCATCATCATATCAGGTCAAATTTCGTCTATAAGACTCCCCTTGAAACTAAATGGTTCAAACTAATTGCACATGTACTT